TATAAGTTATTTTTGGGAAACAGCTTTCTGAAAAATAACCATAACATGATTTATTTTAGTATCCTGTAGATTGATATGAATTTTTAGAGTTGTATAAGTAATGTATTTATAATTTTAATTGCAGATATATACTCTGAAAATTTTTTCTGGACAGAATAAAATCACCACTTTAATATATTGCTAGTCTAATTTTGTAAATCAAAAATTTGTGCACTGTAGTGTGCTTAAGGGTTTAATTCTCTGTATCTAAGTTATTATTTTCATTTACCATGGTTTACAATAAAATTGACTTATTTACATATCTTGTACTTTTATTTAGTATTGTGTGACACATGCAATATTTATGATGGAATTTTAATTGAGTTTGGATATAAATTATTTGTGGAATTAACTTCATCAAACTTTAACTGAGAAATGATTAAACGGCAGTATACAAAGTTAACAATTGACGGTTCCTCTTTTAAAGACTGTACGGAATTAAGGGTGGACGGTTAACACCGGTTGTTCAGGGTGAGCCCGGGGTTTTGAGAATTCTCACGGTAAATTTGTGTTGCGAAACTCTAAGATGGCACGGGACTTATATTGAACCCTTTTCGTATTCGGTTTTGAATACAGCGCGTGGATGTGCACGTGGCACACAGGGAGGTTGCCTTACCCTGGCAGGGGACCGTTTCTCCTTGGGCAAGACCACGGATTGCCACTACTTGGGTATATAACTCCAGGACGTGGGCATCCCTGGTAGGTACGGTTGGTAACACTTAAATATATTGACCAACTGGAGGGTTTCAAATAACCAGTTGGTCATTGCTTACGTGGTTGGTAAGTTAAATCTCTTTTGGTGAGATTTACGAGTGTCACCTAAATTATTAAAATTACGAACTATCTAATGGTTTAATTTCTGTGGTATAATTATATTGTTATCTCATGTTTTAGAATATATATTATTTTGTCGGTCTTAAAAAAAAAAAAAAATGGTTAGGTGGTTACTTTCTTTATGTTTGCAAACCTCATTGGCACTATATTTTGTCTGCCCGGGCGTTTCATGCCAGATTATGTTGAAAGAAGGGACTGAGGCTGAACATTGGAGCTGCATGCCAATACTCGAACCCTTGGCTGACTTTAGAGTCAATATTTGCGTCGAATAAAATCCTGTATAATCTCTTGTACTTAGGATTAAACTATGTTGGACGTTGGTGTGTGAAACTTGGTAGTTTTATTCTGTCGTTGGACTTTGGCTTCGTAAGAACTTAAAAAGTTGCCTAACTAGTAGTTAAAAAATTTATTCTAGCAAGTTATGTTATTTAAAAATCTTATGAACGTTTTCAAAAAAAAAAACAAAATTTTTTTTGGGGCGTTCACATTAATGAGTGTGACAAATGTGTTTATATTAAAAACACAGACAAAGGTTATGTCATTGTATGTCTTTATGTAGATGATATACTAATCATAGGTAGTAATAATGATATGATTAAAACTACGAAGAAAATGTTGAATAAACATTTTGACATGAAGAACATGGGCATTGCTGATGTAATTCTTGGTATGAAAATTACCAAAACATCAGAAGGTTATGCTTTGTCACAATCTCATTACACTGAGAAAATACTTGACAAATTCAGTAAAGATGATGATCATCTTGCTAGAACACCTGTAGATGTTAATTTGTATCTTTCTAAGAATGTACAAGAAAGTATTTCTCAATTAGAGTATGCCCAAATTATTGGAAGCTTAATGTACTTGATGAACTGCACTTGCCCAGATATAGCTTATGCAGTAAGTAAATTAAGTAGATATAAGAGTAATCTTGGAGTAGAACACTGGAAATCAATTATAAGGGTTCTAAGGTATCTCCGATTTACTCGTAATATTGCGTTGAATTATACTAGATATCCAGCAGTACTTGAAGGATATTGTGATGCAAATTGGATATCGGATACAAGAGACTCAAAGTCCACCAGTGGGTATGTCTTTACTTTTGGTGGGGCGGCTGTATCTTGGAAATCTTCCAAGCAGACTTGCATTGCTAGGTCTACTATGGAATCAGAATTCATAGCTTTAGACAAAGCAGGGGAAGGGCAGAATGGCTTCACCACTTCCTTGAAGATATTCCAATATGGCCAAAACTGGTGCCGGCTATATGCATACATTGCGATAGTCAATCAGCAATAGGTAGAGCACAGAGTCATATGTATAACGGTAAGTCTCGACATATTCGTCGTCGACATAATACCATAAGACAACTACTCTCTAATGGAATTATTTCCATTGATTATGTGAAGTCTAAATACAACATAGTAGATCCACTAACCAAAGGGTTAGCAAGAGAGCTAGTTGAGAATTCATCAAGCGGAATCGGACTAAAGCCTATTAAATAAGAGTTACCACAACGGCAACCCAACCTAGTTGACTGGAGATCCCAAGATCTAGGTTCAAAGGGACAACCGAGTTGTGAATGACTCAGAAGGATCATTGGGGAGTCCAACTCCTACCCATTTCTTTGATGAAATAGTGATGTTTGCAGCGTTTGAGGTTAAGTAAACCGTGAATGATTCTTATATCTAGGTAAACCTAGTGGAGTATGGCAGGATACTCTTCATAAGAATCACCTATGTGAGTGTGAACTGGGCCAGTTCTATGAGATTTGTGCAGGGCTACAAGTCTTTAAAGCACTCATGAAAGACCAGGTTGTTCAGGGCCAAAATGAACACAATAGTGAGAACTAAACTGTGTCTGGGGATATACTGTGTGAGTTCTATTGTCTTGGTTTACACAAACGGCTGAATAGTTCAAGACATCATGTTCACTGGTTAGCTAGTAAATCCGATAGTGTCTTACAAGGGAAGGTTCAAAGCCAAAAGCTACCTATCCTTTACAGAATATTTTCAATTTATGTACTCTCTGTATTTAGATCATGTTGTTGCATTTTCTCTCGGTCAAATTCCATTCATGTGGGGGATTGTTGAAAAATTGGTTTATATAAGGCATATTTTGGGCCGACTTTGAGTCCAAAATTGAGTGGACCCCAAACATCTTTTAGGGTGGGTCCGAAGAGGTGAAGTGTTTCTTGCCGCGTGCCAAGTCACACGGGGAAGACGGAATGTCAAAACCATTTATGAGTGAATGGAAAGTTGACGTTGTTTTCGAGTCTAAACATTAATTTTTTTAGATAAAATTCATTTGAATTTTTTGAATAAAAATTATTGTGGGAATTTAATTTAATTCTAAATTCAAATTTTGGGTTCTTAAGTGGTTTCCTAAAGTTTGTAATTGTGGGAATTTAATTTAATTCTAAATTCAAATTTTGGGTTTCTAAGTGGTTTCCTAAAATTTGTACCTCTTTCTTTATTTATTAAACTATTCAATTTGTTTAATATATATATTCAAATAGTTTAATATATATATATATATATTCAAATAGTTTAATTTACAAAGTTCCTACAAGTTTGAAATCTGCGCCAACCAACCACCAACGGATCTTTTTGTTTGAAAGTTTGTTCTATGCAACGGACAGATTCAATTTTCAAACAGAACCTGTTCAAACAGTGTCACATCTGTTCGGCAATTTTTTGCACCTGTTGGGACAGATTTTTGGTCACTTTTTGTGCCTATATATAGATCCACTTCCTGCAGTCCAAGGACATTCGAAAATCAGTCTAAATTTGGTCTCATTGCTGTCCAGATTTTTCTACTTTTGCATTATTCTTCATTCTAGTTTTAGAATAAATATTTAGAGAGTTAGATCACAGGTTTGGTTCGCTGAACAATTTGTTTTGGAGTGCTACTACAAATTGATTAAAAATCATTGTATCCTGGGAGATAAACGCCACTCAACCGTAAGCACCATAGCAGGGCAAATCTGTCTTAAGGACAGAGTGTTACACACTCGACTTGGTCTTTTAATTTTTGTTTGGTTCAACAAAATAATTTCTGTAAGTTTTATTTTATTTTGTTTGAATTAATTTCAGTTTATTTTATTTACACAAAAGATTGTTCCAACAAGAAGTCTACCACAAAATTCATATCAAATCTTGGTAGTGATTTTTTGTATCCTTTAATTAAAAAATTAGAGCACCATCATACTCATAAAATAAGACCACCTTTCTCTCTACAAGTCCACACCATACGATACAACTACATATACCCCCACCAGTCCAAGGTATCTCTTCACCAAGTAACTCATTAACCCTCTCTCTCTCTCTCTCGCCTAAAAATATGGGTGCTCCCCAAAATCTCTCCTCTGTTAGATGTGAACTTAGAATCATTAGAGAAAAAAACATAGAGTTGAAATCCAATGGACACTTGTTTGTTAGAAGCTATCTCTCTGCAGGAAACAACAATAGGGTTCGACTAGCACTACAACAAAATTGACTTTTTACAGCTTGCAATGCATGCGGTAAAAACTCTTTCACGGCATGCACACAAATACCGTTATATCACATGCCGTAAAAAGTTGAGTGTCATTTATGACATGCACGTAAAGTTGTAAAAAGTAATAAATTAAACATTAATGACATACTTTGTATGTCGTATATAATTTTTTACGACATTTTTGTCATGCCATAAATCATTATACTTTCCATGGCATAATTTTGCATGCTGTAGAAAGTTATTTTTAATATATTTATGACATACTTTGTATGCCGTATATAATATTTTACGACATTTTTTTGCATGTCATAAATCATCACACTTTTCACGACATAATTTTGTATGTCGTAGAAGGTCATTTTTAATATATTTATGACATACTTTGCATGCCGTATATAATATTTTACGACATTTTCTTGCATGTCATAAATCATTATACTTTTCACGACATAATTTTGTATGCCGTAGAAGGTTCTTTTTAATATAATATATATATATATATATATACAAGAGTATAACTTTGCTTAACAGTAAGCAGATAATAGCTTATAAAATGTAACAGCCGGTGAACAAACCAAGCAGAGTCAGCAACTATGAAGTAAGCAAAAAAAAAAAAAAAAAACTAATATTCATACACCAAACAACTGCATATTAACTTTAATCATCAGCTTCTATCATATCAAGCTGATAACAACCTCACAAACATACAAATCAAGAAAAGTATCCAAATCATAAAATTCACTAATCTCACTACTAAGAGCCGGACTTTTTGCCACGGACCAATGTACAAAAACATTACAATAATCTACTGAAAAAAACAACCAGCTAGGACATAAATACATGGAAACCTCGGTCAACGGTTAAACATAGAAACAAATTCACAATCCAATGGAAAATGTTACAAGTGCGGTGTATGCTCTTTTAATCAAAACTACCAACCACTATAATAACATCAAGCAATAGATCAAGATATTTCTAAACTCAGTACCTTCACTGCAAGGGGACTTCCTGGTAGTGATATGAAGAACCTTGATGGGCATCCTGATAGGTCCCTTCATGATATATGATAGATGAATAGTTTAAATTAAGAGCATCTTTGACACCTCCAGCTACTAATATATGATTATCTTTTATCATCACCATATCAAATAATCCCATTATGTGATTTCGCCCTCCACCTATTAGTACCTGTTAAGAGCGACACAAAAGATTACCAAAAAGAATTTAATTAAAAAAGGATAATAGATACAGTGCAACTACGAAGGAGAAAACCAAAATAGGTGAATGGATTAAGTTCATTTTGTAAACTTCCAGTACCATAAGCTTGGATCTTCATAACATCAAGTAGTCCCGAAGAGCTTAAGATAGGGGCCTTTCACTACAAGAAGTTTTATATCAATATTAACTAATGAAAAACTATAAGCTGTGTGTTTCATATCAATTCCAAGTAAGACAGATGCCACTTACAAAAAATAGTACACTTAAGGAAATCATATACAAGGGCAAATGATCATTTCGGGATTCCCTACATTCTGTTTAAGTAACCTAGTATGGTGTTAAACTAATAATTTTTCCGTTTAATAGGATTAGTTTGTTTATTGCCTTCAAGTATTAGGTATATTTGGGGTCATTTCAAAAGCAATTTAATGAGAGGAAAAAAAAAAAAAAACTCTACTATAATATTCTAGATGTAAAACAATTATTACTGCCTCTTATCTTTGAAGCTTGCATTCTGTAATAGAATTATATGTTCAATACTCATTTTTTGTTGGAGTTATGATGCAGCCAATACTCATTTTTTCAGAAAATAATAACCTATGTAGTAGCCTTTACATACCAAAAAAAAAAAATATCATACATATGTCTCATTTTATATATATTCATTGGAAGTCAAAATGAAGCGTTTTTATTAATCTTGAGGAGTTTGAGAAACAACAGCCCCACTCAAAGACCAGAGTCATTAGTGTGAGTGAAATTTCAGTTGGTCAGAAAGATGCCTCAGCATCAAGTTCTCTCATCAAGTTCTAGAATCACGATCCACAAGCCAAAGTTATTTTAAAAACAAGAAACTAAAAAGCCATCTCATAATAGGACATGCATAATTGACAATACTTAAACAGTATAAAACTCAACTTGTGAACAAGATTTTTAGACAAACCAAGCATTATTATACATTCGCTATTCAACATTTACAAAGAGAAAATTTCAAAAGTGTTAACATTTCATCCCAAACATAGCAACCTAGAAACCAATTCAATAATTTTCAAAATATGCATATGCATTAAGACTAGTATCATATGTTACAATTCAATAATGTGACTGTAGACGTCCCCGAACGCCCCGGGAGGATGCGTCCCGTTCTGTTCATTTGGGGTTACTACAGTTCGGACTCGATTTGTGTCACGGTTCTTAATCTGAACCAAAGAGTCCAAATCTGGCAAATCGTTTTGAGAAACAGATTTTTGAAAAAGTAGTGCCAAACATGGACTGCTTTGCCAGATACAGAGTAATATGCATATGCATTAAGACTAGTATCATATGTTACAATTCAATAATGTGACTAAAGGGCATATATTAACAGTGTTCAGAAAATTTATCAATTAGTTATGAAGCTTACCACATATAGTATGATGTTCACAACAAAGAAGCCCCATAGATGATTACCAAAGCCAAGTACCATGAGAATGGTGAAATGGAAAAATTAGTGAAACATAATATTTTGTTAATCTTGCAACTGGTGGTCATGGTCTACATTTATAATGTTAACTATAGCCATAGGTCTAGTTAAAACAATCTGAACTGATAATGCTAGCCTGAAGGGTTGAGGTACAAACTCTATGAGACTATAAGTTGATTGATTGTTTTCTCCGTATAGTAGGTTGGTTTGCTATGTTCTCACTTTTGTGCGGCTGGCTGCATTATTAATGGTAGGTTAGAATTTTCAAGCATAGTTCAAGCTAGTACTACCAAACCAAATATGCGTGAGACCAGTGACGGTTCAAGCAACTTTTAGAGTTCAAAATCATCACTAAAGTGAAGTTTGAGCTCCATAGAGATGTAACCACAAGATAAAGAAAAGATACAAAAGAAAGGATAATATGAAATTAATATAAAAATTCAGAACAATCTTATCTTATGATTAATAGTCATATATTACTTTTAGAATCAACGAATCTCAACCCTAGTAATAAAAGAGACTCCATTTAACAAGTTTCATCACCGTATAACCATAACTTTGTTTTGTTAATTGATCAATTATAGAAATGAGACACAACTTACACATGGTATCAATTGATCATTCTACATAGAGTTTTTCTCGTAGGCTACTTGATTTTTCTTTTAAGTTTCTGTCAACATTTTATCTAATTTATGAGAAGTGTAAGTCACTGCTGGGATTTGAAAACTAAAACTGGTAATCCAAAACAAGAGGCAGTTCAAAAGTGTTAATCTGGCTTCTTGTATTCTGGGAAATTGCACATTCAATTGTGCATCATTCTACATAGAGTTTTTCTCGTAGGCTCCTTGATTTTTCTTATAAGTTTCTGTCAACATTTTATCTAATTTATGAGAAGTGTAAGTCACTGCTGGGATTTGAAAACTAAAACTGGTAATCCAAAACAAGAGGCAGTTCAAAAGTGTTAATCTGGCTTCTTGTATTCTGGGAAATTGCACATTCAATTGTGCACCAATCATATAGTGTAAATTACAAATGAGACAATTAATTTTCATACTCTCAAACAGAAGAGAGATGGAAATAGAACCTGTAAACAACAAAGTAGACAGAATCAGACTTAGCTTGGATGACACCACCACCAGTAAGTAATTGCATATTGAAATTAATTAAGTTGGCAGTTAAATATGTGTGTGAGAGAGAGAGAGAGAGAGAGAGAGAGAGAGAGAATAGCAGTTAAATATGAAACCCCATTGAATCATTGGGTGCTACTTTGTTGCAGTTGAGCTTGACTTGTTTTGATTTGATCAAACTTATTAGGTACATAAGTTAAGGTTGAACATATTCCTAAACTGGAACTCAACTCGAACTCCGCTTGTGTATTGCTTAGCATTTAATTTTTAAACAAGTGGTCTCAAGTTCAGAAAAAAAGAGGGTGGTCGTGTGTTAGGTAGCATAATAGTCCACACACAAAAATTATTGAAACTTGTTGAGTCTCTAAATCAAACTTGAGAAACCCATTAGTGGGCTTGACCCCTAGCTACAAAGTGACTGGTTCGTGTTCAGTTTTCAACTACTAATCCTAGGAAGAGCCAGAGACGCTTTTACATCCTCAATTTAACTAATATACGAAGGATGCCTCATTTGTACACACATATATTGGTAGCATTGTCTAATAAGTGAACCAATTGGTCTGCGAAAGAGAGAGAATACTAACCAGTATCAATGAAACCAATGGCAAAATTAACTTGATTCTTGGAGGGAGTTCACAGATATAGCTAGTGTGGTGTGGTGTGTATTGCTAGGCCAAGCATCCTCTATCTTTAATTTACTTAGTTCCCCCCTTATCTTAATGTAAGTATTGAATCATATAAAAATCTTGAAACGTAATTGAATAATTGAAATTGTATTAACATAATAACAAAAGGATTTAAGAAACTTGTTGATGGATTGCAAATACATGTATATATATGAGATGCTATGAATTTGAGCTGTCTCGTTTTGGTAGGTTGACTTCCCTGTTAAGATCTGTATAAATTATTTACATAAAAAATTAAATTAATCGAACATTAACAATTATATGATCATATTTGTTTTAAGAAAATTGATTACAATTTTGGATGAAATTGTGATAAATTTGATAAAATGAAATGTTGAAATCACAAGAATGAGTCCACAATAAACTTCAGACCGAAAGGCAAATCAAGAGGTTGCTGTGACTTAGACGCAATACACAATGCCAAATGGGTACAGATAGAGAGAAAGCAACAAATTGAAGCTTTAAATTATAATTACATTGAAGTGAACGCCAAACAGAATTGATGAATATCATTTTCCTAATATATAGTCACAAATAGTAATCCTCTACACACAAAATACAACTAACTGAGATTCCATCAAGAAGCATGAACATGAAACAGGAAAACTGGAGTGGAATTTAATTGAGATTCCATCAATGTACGGGAAAGAAATAAACTTTCTCGTATAATCCTGTTGACCAAGTCTGCGCTCCTCCGTACGACGTCGCCTTATCACCTGAAAACACAAACGTGAACTAGCCGGCGGGTGTGTGTCGGAAACCTCTCTAATGCCTAAGTCAGCAAACTTAACAAATAGACAAAGCTCTGTGAATTCAGAAAGCAAAGTTGTGTATTACCTCCCCAAAGGTGATGTTTGTGAGCTTTTATAGGTTTCGTGTGGCACAATCCTAGTAAGACTTCTATTCCTCCATGCAGAGTCCTCCTAGGATTCATACTCTTGAAAGATAATGCTTATCCTTCAACACCCCCCTCACTGCTTAAACCAAGTGAGATGGTTCCAACCATGGCCGAACTACAACATGACCGAAATAAAACTGGCTATGCTAAGCCACAGAGTAGGCCGAACTATCCTTAGTTCGGTTCTTCCTTTTACTCCCTATCTCGGTTCTTTCATGTACAAACCATGGTATGTTTAGACCGATCTACCGAGTAGCAAGGTTTTGACCGTTCTAACCACAATACGTCATGACCGGACTAACTTTGAGACCGGCTTAACTCCAAGTTGCTTCCGGACTGGAGTAACTTTACAATTCTTGGGCCGGAGTAACTTTATCTCTCTTGGGCCGGAGTAACTTTTCGGCCTTTTTACCCAGTCCTTCGTACTTTGGGCCATAAAGTCCATCTCATAGCTCGGCCCAATTTTCACCAAAATTACCCTCTCAATCAACAAATTATTATACAGAAAATTGCTCAAACAACGAAATTCTTAAATAAAATGCACTGGTTTCGTTATCTAACCAAACTCGACAGGAAGGAAGAGCTTGAGAGAGAGAGAGAGAGAGAGAGAGAGAGAAAGAAAGAGACGGTAGTGCTCACCTTAGTAGACGATGGTGCTCGCTCCCCTCGCCGGTGCAGATGATGGAGGCGGTGGAGTTTCGAAATCTCAAAATCGAAATTGCCAATCCCTCTGAGATTAGATCTAAGATGAATCACCATTAGCCCTGAGATTGGATCTGAGATGAATCACCAATTGCTCTGAGATTAGATCAAACGGGGCTGAAGAAGGTTGATTTGATCTGTTGAGAGAGATTAGGGTTCAGAGAGGGTTAAGAGAGAGAAAGAGAGAGAGAGAGCCGAACTACAACATGACCGAAATAAAACTGGCTATGCTAAGCCACAGAGTAGGCCGAACTATCCTTAGTTCGGTTCTTCCTTTTACTCCCTATCTCGGTTCTTTCATGTACAAACCATGGTATGTTTAGACCGATCTACCGAGTAGCAAGGTTTTGACCGTTCTAACCACAATACGTCATGACCGGACTAACTTTGAGACCGGCCTAACTCCAAGTTGCTTCCGGACTGGAGTAACTTTACAATTCTTGGGCCGGAGTAACTTTATCTCTCTTGGGCCGGAGTAACTTTTCGGCCTTTTTACCCAGTCCTTCGTACTTTGGGCCATAAAGTCCATCTCATAGCTCGGCCCAATTTTCACCAAAATTACCCTCTCAATCAACAAATTATTATACAGAAAATTGCTCAAACAACGAAATTCTTAAATAAAATGCACTGGTTTCGTTATCTGACCAAACTCGACAGGAAGGAAGAGCTTGAGAGAGAGAGAGAGAGAGAAAGAAAGAGACGGTAGTGCTCACCTTAGTAGACGATGGTGCTCGCTCCCCTCGCCGGTGCAGATGATAGAGGCGGTGGAGTTTCGAAATCTCAAAATCGAAATTGCCAATCCCTCTGAGATTAGATCTAAGATGAATCACCATTAGCCCTGAGATTGGATCTGAGATGAATCACCAATTGCTCTGAGATTAGATCAAACGGGGCTGAAGAAGGTTGATTTGATCTGTTGAGAGAGATTAGGGTTAAGAGAGGGTTAAGAGAGAGAAAGAGAGAGAGAGAGACCCAGAGAGTGAGTGAGAGAGTAACAGGCAATGTTTTTCAATTTAATTGAGTAAGTTTTCAAATATTTTAAATAATTTTTTTTTACTTTTTAAATTCAAATAATTTACACATACTTAAAAGAAAAATATTTTTTAATTTTTTAAAAAATCATTAAATTCAAAAAAATATAAAATTTAATACATTTCATATATATTATATTTTATTATATTTTTTTACAAATATTTTATTTTTTAGTTTTATTCAAATTACGAACATCTAAAAAGTAAAAAATAAATAAATTATTAAAAGAAGGAAAGATATCAAATCAAGGTAATTTAAAAAAATAATTACAAATTAATGAGAAGCCATATAAATATTAATTATTAAAATTATAAACTTTTTCATGAATATGTAATTTTTTTTCTCAAAATCTCACTGGGTGTAATTATCCCTTAAAAGAGACACTAAATTATTATAAAATAATATATAAATTATTTTTTACGTTGTCCTCATTTAGGAAAATGTAAGATGAGAAGCTTGGTTGGAAATTGTTAGCTTTTTTAAATAAAAAAATAAAAATTCGGATTGAAATTTTTTTTAATAAAAGTTATCATTTACGACATGAAATGTATGTCGTCTTAAGTACAAATGTTTTATGATATATTTTTGTATGCCGTGAAAATATACATTTTTTACGGCATACTTTTGCATGCCATAAAAAAATTTCAGATTGATTTATTTATTTATTTTTTTTTTTTGTGCAGAAGTTTTCACGACATGTTAATACATGCCGTGCAAAGTTATATGTTTTATAACATGAAATGTATGTTGTCTTAAGTGCAAATATTTTACGACATATTTTTGTAAGTCATAAAAACATACATTTTTTACGGCATACTTTTGCATGCTATAAATATATGAATCAACGACTTACATGGTATGTATGCTATTATTGACAAAACATTAACGGCTTGCAAAAAAAAAAAATGTCGTAGAATGTACTAACTATGACATGTATTTAATGCATGCCGTAAACATGATGCCGTGAATAGTTAGTTTTGTTGTAGTGTAGACAGTCAAGAAATCTCATCAAAATCCAACTTGTTTTGGAATGAATCGCTCTCGTTAGAGTGTTTGGGTACCCAAGACTCCATGGAGATGCTGATGCAAGGAAGTGTTGTTTTTGAACTTCGGTGGAGAAGCACTGCACCCTTTATTGGGAAAACTGGAGGATTACATCTCTTGGGTAGAGCTGAGATTCCATGGAAAACTGTCTCCGAGACCTTGGAGATGGAAATTGAGAAATGGGCCATCAGGGTTCCAAAAAGTAGACGCGTATATGAAGATATCAAGCCACCTGCAGTGCAAGTAGCAATGAAGCTTAAAGTTCCGACAGTAAAAGAAGCGATATCGGTGCCAGTGTTGATGCCGATGACTATGAGGAAGAGGAGAAATAATCAAAGGATGACAAACTCTGATGAGTGTGGATGCATGGACGTTGGGTGCAATTGTGCAGATTATGATATCTTTGCACTAACACTACAAGAAAAAGCACATTTGGTGACTAAAATTTTAGTCGCCAAAAGTCTGTTTTTAGTTGCCGAAAGTCGAGTTTTTACTTTCAGCGACTAATTTTTTTAGTCGCCCGTTTTGTTGCGTATATATGGTCTCCGGAGGTATTGGCGACTAAAATTTTTTTAGTCGGCAAAAAATAGCTCTTTAGTGACCAACGATTTAGTCGCCAATAGTGATTTACACTTTTTAAAATCACACATTTAGCGACTAATCTTTTAGTCGCCAATAGTCCATGAATTGCTGACTAAACCGTTTAGTCGCCCAGAATAAACACTTTTGGCGACTAAAATTTTAGTCGCCAAAGGTGCTTCCGTGAGAAAAAAAAAACCAACTTTTTTGCTTTTTCTGAGATTTGAACCGCCAATCTCTCTCACATTCTAAACCTTTTGGCTACGAAATTGATTTTTGTTGGTAAAACACGTATAATCGGCGACCAAACTATTTTTTAGTCGCCAAAACCTATTCTTTTGGCTACTAAATGTTTTTAGTTGCCAAAAACCTTCTCTTTTGGCTACTAAAATTTTTTTAGTCGCTAAAACCCCTATATTCGGCGACTAAACTAAGTTTTATTCGCTAAAACCCCTACATTTGGCTACTAAACTGTTTTAGTCGCCAAAAGTGTTCACTTTTGGTGACAAATTCCATTTTAGTCGCCAATTTTGCTACTTTCAGCGACGAAAAATCCATTTTTAGTCGCGAAATCTGCTTTTTCTTGTAGTGTAACTACTGTTTTGGATGCCTTTTAGGTTGGCAAAGCTCTTAGAACCTCTAGGGTTTGCGCCAATATTTTTTTTTTATAATTTTTTTTCCTTTATTGATAAATTTTTGAATTGAGACAACTGAATACATGGTGCGTGACACACTAGGACTCTTTAGAAATGCTGGAATACTTGAATTGAATTGCAATTTTGTATTGTAAGTGGTCTATCTATTTCATCTGAATTGACAATGTATAATCAAATCTAAATTGGCAAATTTTTTGAATTGTAAGTGTTCTATCTATTTCATCTAAATTGGTAGTATGTGTGTGTGGATAAATTGGCAAAAGTGTTACTTCGATCAAATTTTAGATATCATCTTATAAAAATAAAACCAGAAATAGCATTTTCACAATCATAAGTTTTCTTCTTCTTCTTCTTTTTTTTTTTGTTTTTGTTTAGATCGGCATTTTCTTCTTCTTTTTCTTCTTGTTAGCTCAAAATATGATTTTACATCGAGAATTTTAGAATTAAGGAAACAGCATATCATTGCTACTTGACATATCTCCAGGGGTAGAAGGAAGGAAGGACGAGGGGGGTCACGTGGGCCCCCTCAGTTTTCAGAATTTTTTATTTTGTTTTATTTATTTTTATTTTTTGGGTCTTGTTGCCATATATAAAATGTATATTTTTTTTTTCTTAACTTGTTTTTTGGTTAAGGATTTATTGTATTGTTCACAACAAATAGTTATTTGATATTTTGAAAGCACTATCTGGTATTATTTATCTAATAGTTTAAACAAATAGTATAGCGAAAAATCTTATAGATTGAATATAATGAACTCATTATTTTCAAGCATTTGACAATCTGCTTAGTGTGATTTGTGATTTCTCATGCTTTGAGCATCATGTAGGCAATGTTAAATGGTATTCTAAGACTATTTAATAATTTTCATTCGAAACACATCATTTATAAGTAATGTCATCTCTTTAATATTTTTCTATCAAATAAAAATTAAATAGATTTTATAATAATTTGTGTTATAAACGATGTGTTTTTATTTTCTAAAATTAAGAATTTTGATCCATAATTTTGTGTTAAAATTACAAATTTACATCACTATCCCGCACCGAGCTATTCTACACTATTACAGAATTTTAATTTGTTCCTATTAATAATGAATATGTAATTTTTTATACTTAAATTTAGCTCATAAAATTATTATTATCTTAATGTTCATCATGATTTTTTTTAAATAAAAAATTATAATTAATAGTGCCCTCTCTAACTCAATTTCCTGGCTCCACCACTGCATATCTCAATTAGATTAGCACATGTACAAAGCAAGTCCCAAAATTCATCAGCATGCATTATTAAACATCATCTAATGGGCCTGAAGGGTCTATCCCTAGGTAACAAAATCTGAAATGAATCCTCAATCAATCAATTAACTTGTGTTTACACAGCTTTATACAAGATGGTTAGAGTTTGTTATACTCCCTCACTCTCTCTTCTAACTACCTTTCAATTATATACACTACAGGAAAAATAGGATTTAACGGCGTTCATTTAATGACGTTTTTTTAAATGTCACTTTTTCTAATATTTAACGACGCTTTACAAAACGTCGCATTTTGATTTAATTAAAACAGTACCGTTTACCAATAGAAGTCATTTTTAAACGCCTTCAAATGTGTTACCATGTTATCTCACTCCTACTCTCTCTCTCACAGCTCTGTGAGAATCAAAACCTCTCTCGTTCTTCAAACCCTCATTATCAATCCCCCAAATCTCACTCACTTGCTCTTTCTCTCTCTCTCTCTCTCTCTCTCTCTTTAAACCCTTCAATCTCAGAGATTACGATTCAACCTTCTTCAACTCGGTGATTCATCTTAGATCCAATCTCAGAGTGATTTCGATTTCGAAATTCTCTCTCTCGATTTCAAACGGTGAAGGAAGCCCT